TGAACTAGCTTCTAGTTTGGGGCAGTGCTGTGTTTGGAGTCTTGTATAGCTATTGGTCTAGACACAAATGAGACAAACGGTGGTTTCTAAGCCTTTGAGGCCCTTCACAATTTAGCTCTGTCCTACTTAGCTGATCTACTATTTTACTGCAACACTAATCCCCACTTTCACTCTTCTGCTGTCGGCACCATTCACCAACCACCAGTCCTCAGCTCCCTGAAATGCCTCTGCAATGTTTCCAAACATCCCCTTATTGGGCTGGGAAAACTCCCTGGAAAATTCCGGCAAAGCCACTACCTTATCCACCTTAAGACTCACCTCTGCCATGATGCCAATGAAGCACTGCCAGATGAAAATGATGAGGTAGTAAATGAGCCGAGACTGCCTGCTTATTGTTTGAGAACTCGCTTGCTTTAACATTTCCTCATCTTCAACTCTTTGTCTCTTCCACCTGCTGTGTCTTGTGATAACCTAGACTGTTACTTGGGGGGGGGGGGGGGGGGGGAAGGACATGAAGGCTCAGATTTTGCAAGGTATTTAGGTGTTGCACTGCTCAGCCTTGCAAGGCCAAAGTGACGTAGACGGCGAAGGCCCATTTTCGAAAGTGGCTTAGGCACGTAGGAGCCAAAGTCCCATTGAAAATTTAAAAATATGGGCCATAATACCGGGACACTACCCAAAGCTGATTGAAATCTGATGCCAGGACACTTAGTACCTAGAACTGATTAACACCACACCTAATCAGAGCAATGAATTCAATTTTACTGCATATGATAAGGGATGCAGGAGATGACATGTTATTTTTGTGATATTATTTATATTACCCCTTATATACAGTGAAAACCTCTATTAGTGAGCTTGGCTTTGCCCCACCTGTTATAAACAGACTTTCACTAGGGCAGGAGAGGGCCCACCTAATGAGAGACCACCCATTCCCCTTCACCTATTAAGTGCAGTTGCAGGGGACACTGGCAACTCTCTGTGGGAGGCTAGGTGGCCACAACTTCACTCCACTGGAAAGTAGCAGTAGCAAGACTGTCTCCTTTTCACACTCGGCTGGGTGCAACTGCAGGTAGACCAGGATTCCGGGTTTCTTCTGCCATGGTATAGTGGCAATTTCTCTTAATCTCTTCCTTTGCTCCGTTGAAGAAGGGGAGGTGATAGTCTCTTTGGAAGAATCATTTAGCACCTTTCTGGTAGGCGATAATTGCTGCAATCCAAGGATATTAACTGGAGTTGATTGGAAGTAGCAAATGAATTTTCAAGCAGACTGAACCGTCACTATAAGCCAATGTAAGGATATTGAAATACACATTCAGGAAAAAGCAACAGAGGGTCCTGTGGCACCTTTAAGACTAACAGAAGTA